AACCGTGGGAGGTTGCAGAAGCATGGCAGGGCCTTTTTCACATCCTTGTCATTGGATTCCTGCACAGGAACAACGGACAGACATTATTCACTTGCTTGCAGTTCCTGCATATTAAGATTTGTTGAGAATTTGGAATGTAGAGCAAAGTCAAAATCATGCCAACATTATGGTGCATGATAGCACAGTGTTTTAAATTGCACGTGATGAGTAGAGGAGGCTCCTTGCTGCTCTCTGCATGTGGCAGCTAGACTTAAGAACACAAGTAAAACCTGCTGTATCAGCATCCTCTTCTCACAGTGGTCACCTAGATGCCGGTGAGAAACCTGCAAGCAGGACTTCAGCACTAGAACACTATTTATGCACACAGCGATGTAGTTTATTTTTATTTAAGAGATTTTTATTTGCACTTACATTCACAATTTCCAGGGCAGATTGCAATAGTTAATCAAAACGCAACATAGTGAGAACAGCAAAACAACCCCCATGAAGCAGTCCTCACCTCCCCACCGCTGTCTGAGACCCTGCCTCTCCAGGGGTTTTTCCAAGCAATCAAAGGCTGTGTCTGCATATCACAAATCTCCGCTCCACCCTCTTCATACCTCTTCTGGTTCTGGGAGACAAGCGGGGACCCATCTGTGCCTCTCAGACTCTCTCTTCCCACTCTCCTGCTGCAGCTTCCAGCTCCGATTCTGGACTGCTCTCTGCCACAGACTCTTTCAGCTCACTAAGCCCTGTTGCCTCTTCAGCTTCTGATACCACCTCTTCCCAGTCTTCTCCCTTTTCTCCCTGTGATCACTCTTTTTTAAAAAATAAAATAATAATAATTTTTATTGAGTTTTACATTATTTATTTTTCCATAATTACATCATGACAAATAATGATAAATTAAATTCCCCACATTCCGCCCGCCATGACTTCCCTCAACTTCCCCTTCTGGTTTATTACATTTAAACTTGTCCTGCTTACCATACTATTTGTTGTTGTTTAGTCGTTTAGTCGTGTCCGACTCTTCATGACCCCATGGACCAGAGCACGCCTTAAATTAAATGTTGTTGTATTCTCATGACTTTAACCTCTTTACAGATTCTATATTTATATTATTAATTGTAAGTGTTTACTCAAACTCTGCTACTGAGTCCATTTCTTTACACTGATTCTGTAGATACAGCATATATGGTTCCCAGTCTTCTTTAAAGTCTCTGTTGCCTTTGTCTCTAAGTCTTTCAGCTAGCTTCACCTTTTCAGCATATTCCATCAGTTTTTCTTGCCATTGTTCTTTGGTTGGTATTTCATCACTTTTCCATCTCTGGGCTAGTAAAATCCTAGCCACAGTTGTAGCATACATAGTTTTTTTCTTCTTTTTTGGCATATCTTGATCTCTGAAATGCCAAGTAAAAAAGCTTCTGGTCTTTGAACAAATTTATCTTAAACATTTTTTTTCACTTTATTATAAATCATTTCCCAATACTTTTTAATTATTTTACAATTCCACCACACATGAAGAACGTGCCTTCTTTTTCTTTACACTTCCAACACTTATTGGAGCCTGTTCTATACATTTTTGCAATCTTAACAGGTGTAATGTACCATTGATACATCATCTTCATATAATTCTCTCTTAACAATGTGCAGTCAGTAAATTTTAAGTCCACTTTCCATAATTTCCCCCAGTCTTCCATTTGAATGTTATGTCCTAAGTCTTGTGCCCTGTGACCACTCATTGTTGTCCCATCACCATTCCTTGGGCTCTGATCCTTCTTCCCTTGGTGCTTCCCCAGCTCGTTCCTCCCACCATTCCTCTGCATCCAGCAAGTCTATGACAATATCTCCATTCACTACACTAAACTTGCTGAAATGTAATGATGCCACCTACACAAATTTGCATCCTAGTATGAGTGGAGTTCTTGCATGCAGAAGAAGAACGTGGGAGCCAAGAGACACCCATTGCCCTCCTTTCCCTTAGCATGGCTCGGTGGAAGCTACAACATCATTGGAAATGAGAACCGCCTTCCACGTCCTCCTCACCCAATCCATTTCCTGCTCATCTTTCTGCAAGTTATTCAAATAATTAATCTTTTCCAGTTATGTCTTTCGAGATCTGTTCTGCAGACATTGCTGCTATATTTAAAGTTTGCAGTAAGTGGTACTAGATGATATATATTTTCCCAATCTTGCAAAAATGCTGTCTAAAAAAAGCACTTAGTAGTAGGCTGTAGCAGGTGGAAGTGGGCACAGACAGCTGTGTCTGCTCTTGCCACTTATTTGGTTTCCAGCTTTCTTAGTGATATTGATGCTCTGACAACTGCTATGCCAACTTTCCCCAAATGCTAGGTTTCAGCAGACTGACAGACAAAGCCACCATATTTTTCTGATGTTGTTCTGAGTGATATCGCATATGGACATCATCTCTATGCTCAACCTCTAATCTTGCAAAACGGAAAAAGAAAAATAGAACAATTAGATTGTTGTCTTTTCCCCTGGTAAGACTGCCAAGGGATAGTTGGAAACATTGCTAAAATACTAATGAATCAAGTGACTTTATTGATGCGTACCTCTTCCCATCCCCATTCCCAAAGGTGAAAGAAACTTACCGGTACCTCCAGACAAGTGAAGAGAGAATGGGAGATTGCGGTGGAAGTTGTAGGCACTTCCAGTTACTTGATGAAGGTTTAATGCTTCAGGCTGCAGCTGGCATTCCCCAACCAGAGCTCCCAAGGGATGCAGCCAGGACTCCCATGGGATTCCCCAAATGGGAATCCCATAGGATGCAACCAGGGCTCTCTACCATCCAAGTGATGCTGTGTGCACCATACCCACCAAAGGAAAAGACCCCTTTGATTTCTAGTCGGATCCCAATGGGAAAACACTCTATGCTGCATTCCTGTCAAAGCAGCAGGCTCAGGGGACATTCTCCGACAGTTGGAACAGTGTGTGCCATATTCTTTTCCCACCGGAGATGGTGTCACTTGGCAGCTGCATCCCCACTGGGGAAAAGCAATGCTCCACTTGGGACTAGGAGCACCTGCAGCCATCGCTGTTGCCTCTACCTTTCGCTTTGACTGCTCACCACTGTTTCATTTCGCTTTGGGGCAGGAGAAGTGGGAAACAGGCTGCGTGAAAAGCTGTGTTTATTTTCCCTCATCCTGATCTCTAGCATTTTGATCAGGGTCCATTGCATTGGAGAGGTCCTTTGATCAAATGCTGAAGATATTCCTACATATATTTAGTACTGGAGTATTACCAGGGGAGCTTCTATATAGCATGGTATTTTACTCTCTTTTTTTCTGAGACAGAAAGCATAATGTTATATACAGAACATTTTATTTAGTGCACTGTGGCACATCCCTTTTATCCATAAAAGAGAAGGTAACTGTTCACCAGAGATGCATAATAATTTGCATAACTATTTTTAAAAGTCATTTTGAGTATTTTAAAAATTCCCTTTAAAGGCAGTCCTATCAATTTTAGTCTGCTGGGGAAAATTTCTCTCCACCCATCTCCGTCGCATTCTCAGAGAGATGGGTTGAGGTTTTTTTGCCACTTTATACATTGATTAGAAATGTGTGGATGTTTTTGTAACATCCATAAGGGACCGCCATACTTTTCTAGGTGGGGAGGAAAGACAAAATAAGTAGGTTAGCCTTGAAAATTCTGCCATATTAACAAAGCCTTTCAAAGATGCAAGTACCTGCACATTTCCAAACTGACAGGTCTGTGAGAGAGTTTTGCTTTTGGTTTTTAGTTTGCTTTAACTTAATAGAAATATGCAATGGAAAACAAAGTGATGTTGCCTTATGCTAAAACAGGGGTTGCCAATAATAATAATAATAAAAAAATTTATTTATATCCTGCTCTCCCCAGCCGAAGCTGGGCTCAGGGCGGCTAACAACAATCAAAATAGTCCGACATTCTAAAAACATTCATTATAAAATTAATTAAATCAAATTAAAATCAAATTAATGGCAACCATCAAGCAAAATTCTGTGCAGATTGCCGATTGCCAGAGGAGGGGGTCAGGCTGCGCCCTGACCAAAGGCCTGGTGGAACAGCTCTGACTTGCAGGCCCTGCGGAAGGATGTCAGGTCCTGCAGGGCCCTAGTCTCTTGTGACAGAGCGTTCCACCAGATTGGAGCCGCGGCCGAGAAGCCTAACCTCTCTGTGGCCTGGGATCTTTAGGATGTTTTTATTTGCAGACCATAAATTTCTCTGTGGGACATACCAGGAGAGGTGGTCCCGTAGGTACGAGGGTCCTAGGCCGTATAGGGCTTTAAAGGTTAAAACCAGCACCTTAAACCTGATCCTGTACAATGGGGCATCTGTGGGTGCAATGATGCTGTTGATGTCTTCTTTTGGTGCCCACAAAGCCTCTGAGCCCCACCTTACTTCCCCATTGGGTAAGAGGTGGCAAATGCATTGTTTTCCTCCCTGGAAAAATACTGAGAGGGGAAGGAGAAAATTGAAGGAGTGAAGCTGTTTCCCACTCCCTCTTTCAGCTTTATGTGCTTTTCGAGGCTCAGATTAATTCTGCTGGATCCGACACAATTTATATGGTGCTGCTGAATGATTAAACTGAAAAGCAATGAATCTGATGTGACATGATGTGGAATTTGTACATTTGACATGCCCCACTCATACTTGCAAGAGACCACTGTGAACAAGCCATAGCTCACATGCTTTATTTTTTTTTTTTTTTAAATATATATTTATTAAGGTTTTTCAATACCAAAACATGTTATAAAAACAACATTAGTTATTTAACATCTTACCATTATTACTTTGGACTCCCCCACACCCCCCGCAAACACTTACATCATTGTATAATTGTTTCCAAGCAAATTATCATTTTATCCATAATCTTGATTTTGTTCATTGACATATGATTAATCTTAAATCTAATTTAGTGGTAGGCAATTGTTTCTATTTTGACATCCCGGTCAACATTCAGTCAAATTATAGTACTTTTGTAAATAGGTCTTAAATTTCTTCCAGTCTTCTTCCATCCTTTCTTCTCCCAGGTCTCGAATTCTGCCGGTCATCTTTTTCGCAGGGGCCATGCTAATCTTCTCTGTATCGTTCCAATTTTAGTATATGTGCTGCCGAAGCGAGCACCATAGCTCACATGCTTTAGATATAGCAAGTTTCCAGTTCATTCCTGTCTGTTTCCCCACTTCACGAAGGATGGTGCTTGAAGATGTCACTGTTTAATAATGAAGCAGATTGGAGACAAGGAGCTAAGGCTCCATTCCTTCTTGGCTCTCAGCCAGCGCCTGATTTAGACATGTGATTTCCTGAGAAGCCTCACATGAGTTGCGTGCTGAGGTCCCCCAAACCATCCCTACCCCAATAACTCACACATCACACATAATTTTTGTTTAAGGTTTTTGGCATAATTTTGGCCACAACTTTTATTATCATACAAAATTGTGAGTGGTTGCGTAGGCATTGGTTATGACTAGCTATCCCCCCCGCCTTGGGGGATAGCACTGACTCCCGGATTCCAGCGTAAGTCAGTGTGGAGGAACAAGCAGGGCAACTGGGGCTGCGTTACAGGCCCTTCAGTTCCTCCCTGCATGCGCCTTGGGGTCTTACACGGCCCGCACCCGATTCCAGGGGTTTGGACAAGGGGATGGTAAGCCCCAGAATTCCTTTAACGGAATTCCCATTCCGCAGCAGCATTGGAGGGGTAGGCACAGCCAATCCATACCCCTCCACCAACCAATTTAACCAATGCCTAACCGCCACCCGAGCCCTTATGCTCGCCGCCAACCACTCACAAAGCCAACCACACCCTCAACTTGGACACCACTGCATCCAACCAAACATCATTCCCAAACGTGGAAAGATGAACCCCATCAGCCCTGTATAAGACTTCCTCCTTAAAGGAAATACGAGGGTGAGGAATCACCAATCCGCCCAAGCTCACCACCAACTTGCCCACCGCGGAATTAATCCGCTTCCTAACTTTCTCAGTGGACGCTGGGCAAGGACTGCCCCGTCAAATGCGGCGCTGAAGCAACTGTGACCAAATCAATTTTGTATTAGGCACCATAGCCGCCAGCTCCCTTAGGTCCTGTAAAATAACAGTACGCAGCGTATAGCAAGGAAAAGAAACCATATCATTTTCCCCAAGCTGCACCACAATCGCTGAAGGTGGGCCAAGCAGGAGGACGCGCCTTTTCATGAGTGGCAAGAATTCCCTCCACCGCATCCCCCTTCTGGAGATCCAGGACACCTGCACGTGCTGTGGAAGGCCCAGGCCATCTCCCAATCCAGACTGACGAGCTCTGTCAGCGGCCCAATGCACAATACTGTGGCCCACTATCCAGATACGGATAGTGCCCGGACCTAGGGTTAAAACAGAAATGTAAGTACACAGCCACATTATTTCCTCACATACGTTTTGAAAGCATCCGATCTCCATCGACCCAAGTCCTTTATCCTCTTCACGGATAAACCCCAATGGGCGGCTGTAGTTGCAGCACCAATCCGGAAGGAGTGAGGAGCAAACTCCGAAGCCCCAAGCCCACACGCTACAATGGCTTTACGCATCACCTTAGTGAATTGATGCCGTACTAATGGGTGCCCATCTTCATGAATAAACAGGGGCCTTTCACCCACTGGTCGCAAGGCCAGGTACCGCTTAAGGTCCCTTACCGGACAAGGGCCACCTTCCCCAGACGCCGGGAGCCTGATAACGGCTCCCCTACCCAGCTGATCCATCTTTGAGTTTCTGATATTAATTTGCAAGTCAGACGGAGACATACTCACGTCCTGCAACAACAAGCCCCTGGAACCTCCATCCCGCTTAGGCTCAAGGACCACCTCTCCTACTCTCAGGGCCCCAAAGCCAATGAGAAAGCTGCAGAAAACAAACGTGCCTCGAATTTAGACCAACAGATGCTACGCAATTTAGTATGCATCTGCGCCAGCAACTCTAATGTGATAGGCCGTCTAGGGATAGGCTTAGAGGGAGTGAGACGCCCCCAACCTTCCAAAGCTCTGCGCACCACAAACTTCCCACACGGATCTTTATTAAAAAATGCCCTGCTAAAAAAAAGGAAATCGCTGCCGAATGAAGTCGCAGCATCCTGGCCCAGCGCATCTGGAATAGATGTGCCAAATACTTGAGCACCTGAGAGGAAGAATGGGGGGCAGTGACCTCCCCAACCGTCTGTCCATTAAATAATAAAAAATCTGCCCAGGCCTTTTTATAAGACCTCAAAGTAGAGGGGGCAACAGATGCAGCTACTCCCTGTAAAACTAAGTGCTGCCAAGGTTCCAGAGATGATCCGGGAAAATTTCCGGACGGTCTCGAGCCACTGGCGCCAGGGATCTGAATCGCTCCATCTGTAGATTTCATTGTGACACTTCCTGATATAACCCTTGTCAGTGTCAGACTTCCAATGACCCGTATTCACAATCCTGTCTACTGACAGGCCCCCAATGTGCAGGCCTTTGCAGCAGCCCTATTCGGAAGGAATGAGGCGTGTTCAGCGGTAGGCAAGCCGCAGGCCGTAATAACTAGTGCACGACGTAAGCACATTAATGCCTGGCTAACGGGAACCCATTTTCATGCACTAGGAGTGGGCCAGCCCCCAGGGAAATGAAAAGCCAATTTTTTCTGGTGTCCATAACCGGGCAAGGGCCCTCCTCACCTGTAACAGGAAGCCAGATTGTGGCACTCCTGCCCACTAAGTCTGTTTTAGAGTTCCCAACTCTAATGACAAGCTCCAAAGCAGATAAGGAAAAGTCCTGAAGCAATAAGCCTCCAGACTCTCAGCCCTGTGCTGGCTCCAACAACCATTTTAGCAACCCTCAGTGCAAAAATGCAATGGACTACTGAAAGGAGTCTCGCCTTGATCTTTTACCAGCAGACAAGTTTTAACTTGTTGCAGATACTGCATAGGTAAAATTGACCGACTTCCTGCCCACTGTCCTATGAGGTTGGAGCCTATACCAACCTTCCAAGGCCCTGCACATTACAAACTTTATGCAAGGGTCTCTGAAAAATAAAGCTTCAGTATAACAGACATTGCAGCGGACTGAATTCTTATAGTTATAACAGCACGCCCAATCTGCAGCAGGTGGACCAAATACTGCAGGATCTGCTCAGAGGATGGGGGCCAGTTCATCTGAATGGCCAAGGACTGCCAGCTTAAGGCTAAGAAATCCAACCAGGCCTTCCCATAAGAGCTAAAAGCAGAAGGGAAAATGGAAGCTGCTACTCTCTGTAATTACTAATTGTTGTCAAAATGCCACAGGTGGTCTGGAAAAGTCTGGCAGTAGCTGAGTGTTTGGAGCCCAGGATCCGAAGCGCTCCATCTGAAAATGGGATAGAGTGTCAGTGACATCATTATAGGATCCCGTAATCAGGAGAGCAGAAAGCACAATATTAAACCTTAAGCGGCGCAGCTCAAAAGCGTGAGCGGAGGGGCGGAGACTGTGCTAGAGCGTGAGGACTGTTTTGCCAAGACGCTCACCACTACCTGGTTATCAGACCAAAAGCAGATCCGATGGTCACTGAACTCCTTGGGCCACATGTGAACTGCTACTACAATGGGGAAAACTCAAAGGTTAGGTCACATGATTGCCTCACCACACCGTGCTTGAGGCCATGGCTTTGCACACCAGCAGCCCCTGAAATAAAAAACCAAAGGGCAAAGATCCAGCAGCATCAGCATGAACCTGAAAAATCCCTGTGCAAGTATCCTGCCATGGCCAACTACTATTGCATACATTTAGGAATTGCAACCATTGCATGAGATCCCATTGCATGAGAAAGGTAAGGGGACCTCAACATTTAGGAATTGCAACCATTGCATGAGAAAGGTAAGGGGACCTCAGGCCGCAGGCAGCCTGGCCTAGTGGGAAGGGAAGGGGCGGCCTGGGGCAACCACTCTGCATGCAAGATTAATTAAGTGACCCAGCAAGATCGGATCTGATGAAGCATCACTTGCTACAGAGGAAGTATTACAAAATAACTTCCTTCAAGGCAGACAGCTTCTCCATAGGCAAGTGGTATGTTTTAGCAACGATATCCATCTGGATCCCTAAATAAAATGGGAATATGGGCAAAAGGTATTGAGGTATTGCTTGCCAGCTTCCAGCCCCCGCTTGGGCAGGGGGCATCTTGTGCTGCCATCATAATACGTAAATTTACAGGGCCGACGCTGGCCAGAACCCCTAAAAAAGTCCCGACAAAACTGCCACCGAGCCAGCTTCCTTTTCAGACACACACTGTGCAATGCAAAAACACACTCCGTGCAGTGCACACACACTCCATGCAATGCAACTACACTCCGTGCGATGCAACTACACACTCTGTTCAATGTAACTACACACTCAGTGCAATGCAAAAGCACACTCCGTGCAATGCAAAAACGCACTCCATGCAATGCAACTACACACTCTGTGCAATGCAACTACACACTCCACACAATGCAACTACACACTCCATGCAATGCAACTACACACTCCGTTCAATTCAACTACACACTCTGTGCAATGCAAAAACGCACTCTGTGCAATGCAAAAACGCACTCCATGCAATGCAACTACCCTCCATGCAATGCAACTACACACTCCGTTCAATGCAACTACACACTCCGTGCAATGCAAAAAACGCACTCTGTGCAATGCAAAAAACGCACTCCATGCAATGCAACTACCCTCCATGCAATGCAACTACACACTCCGTGCACTGCACACACCCTCTGTTCAATGCAACTAGACACTCCGTGCAATGCACACTCTGTGCAATGCAAAAAACACACTCTGTGCAATGCAACTACACCCTCCGTGCAATGCACACACACCCTTTGTGCAATGCACACAACCTCCGTGCAATGCAAATGCAAATCTCTCACGCAATGCAATGCCAATGCAGCCCGTGCAGCGCTGTGCCCTGCAACGCACAGAGCAAACTGCAGTGCGGGCACACAAAGGTGCTTTCTCCCACTTGCATATTGCAAACGTGGCGCCTGTTACATCCCTCGCAGAGTGGGAACCACCAAAAGGCCCGAAAAGTGTCCAGGTAGAGCAATGGGGGAGCATGCAGCTGTCCCATATAGGGACCAATCCTGCAACCTAGGCATTACTGGCACTATGCG